ATATATATATATATATATATATATATATATATATATATACGTATATATAGTAAATACAACACAAATGATTCTGCACAAAACTCAGTTCAGGATTACTTTTGCAAATTATAGAAAAATGCTATAATAGGAGAATGACACAGCAGATTTTGCAATAGAGCAAGTTCTTCAAGCGTCAAGAAAGCAGCACATGGTGGCTGTAACTCACCTGTGGTGAAGGCCCCGTAGTTTACAGCTTTCTGTAAGCATCATGGTCACCTGTACCTCTGAGGCGTGATCTGCACAGCCAAATGCAAGAACAAAGAGTCAGGGATGTGTGACGCAAACCTGAACAACCCAATCTTGAGGGAAATTTGAGAAAATCAACTGACAGTCTTCTCATCCCTCCACACACCAATCAAAACAAAGTAAACCCTCAAAGATCTGGAAAAAGCCAGATCCTAAATGTCAAGCAGCACTAAAGGATAGAGGAAATATTTGAACATTTAGTCAAATTCATTAGCTATGTTTCCACTCAACTAATTGTGGTATATCGCATAAAAAAAAACGCTGGATGGAAACGCCAAGATGTGCATAAATTCTAAAAATGCGCATTAAAAAAAAAAAACGTATGCACTCAACTAAATAGGATAAATTTCTTATCCGGTAAGAAAACATGCGCATAAACTATGATGGAAACACTTTTACCGAATACATTTTTTAATGCGTATCAAAAAAGGCATGTTAATTTGCGATGGGGCTTTATAAAACTGGACCATCCCAATGGACCGATCTCATTGCACAGCATCTGAAATTCTAGTTTTGTCATTCTAAAATGCTTGAGCTATGTCTCGTCAAAGGGCTTCGTTATAATAAACTCCCAGAACTGTGTTCCCAGACAGCAGGCGAAAATAAGATTTTGTCCGCTTTTCGTCTGCACGCTCTGAAGCTCGTAATTTATTGTATACAAAAATTATTATATACAGTGCCTTCTCTTACTGCAGCAAATGTAATTTTTCTTCGTGATATTTAGCGCAAGTTAATCAGGAAGTGACGATTTTGTCCTCTTCAACTCACTGGATGGAAACGGTGCTTTATTCACAAATGTTTTATGTGATATTCCAATTTTGCCCTTAAATTTAATTCGTAACTTTGGATGGAAACATAGCTACTGTTAAATTAAAAGGATTGTGTCATTATTCCCTTAAACATTTTTCCATGCAATTACAATGAATAGGGACTACAGCTTTCGAAAAGAATGCAAAAAAAGGGTAATAAAAAATGTAGATTTGTTCCTCACACAATGCTTTCCTATGGCATATGAACTACTTTTATGATGCATTTGTCAGCATTTTTGGAGTCACAATACTTTATTTTTAGATTCACCAATTGAGTTCAAAAAAAGAAGAAAGTAAGCCATAGAGGTTTGTAATGAAATGTGGGTGAGCAAAAAAAAAAAAATTTCTGTGAACTATCCATTTAAAAGAACATTAAATCAAGTGAATGCTCTGTTGGATCTTATTTGATCTGTTTTGCCCCATCAGGCAAGTCCTTGCTAGTAAAAGGTGCAAGTAGGTCCTGAACAACCCTCCACCTTGCACTTGAGAAAGTTTGATTACTTTAAAAGCAGCCTAACTCCTTTCAGCCAGTCTCACAGATTGCTGGCTGAGTGAACACATTTAGAATGAGTTCACAGAGGTCTGGTTTTATCTTGGAGCACAGCTTTTGACGGATGCTTGGAGAGTATGTGTGAAGTGTATTGTTTCCTGTCCCTTGGACAAGGGCCGGGGTGGAAACCAAACAGATTGGCACAGCAGAGGCTGGTACAGTGGCATTGTCTGGTGGTTGGCACCAGTCCTGCGCTGGGTAAACAGGGCACAAGGACAAATGAAGGGGTGACCAGTGTGACGGGAAGTGCTTAAGTTTCTCATGGCATTTTCTAGAGAAACTGATAACTGTCATAACTGAAAACTATATTATCAATATTTTAAAACACCCCATTTTCATTACTGTATTATGAACTTTTGAACTTCACAAAGAGGTTCATTATCACAAACAATCCCAAATGATTTTCCTGAGAAAAGAGTTATTTTCAATCATGTTGGGAAAGTTATTTTAAATTTAAAACTCATTTTAGAATATTGTACTCTAGGGACATATCAAATGAGAGTTAAAAAAGAGGATTTACCTTTCACTGCTTTCACAAAGACTTGTTTCTCTTTGCTTGGGTCCTTCTCGTCAAGCAAGACTCCATGAAAAATGCGGCCAAAGGTCCCTGAGGATCAAAAATTTTAAAAAGTCACTTTAGGTAAACAGCCGACATTATGAAAACTCTATCTCAGGTAGGGCTGCACGATAAATCGCATGCGATATTTAACGCGCACGCAGGTGATGGAGATTTACCGCTGATTAGAGAACCGGCTTTACTGATAAGATGCGCGTTAAATATCGCATGCGATTTATCGTGCAGCCCTAATCTCAGGTAATAGAAATCTACACAGACTGAAATACACAGATTGTCTCACATAATGAGAACTTTTTCTATAATAAGTGTTTTTATAATAAGTCTATAATAAGTGTATTATAAGAAATTTTTCTTATAATAATAAGTGCCAACTTTTGCACAGCAGGTCTGAACAGGTATCCTGGATGACCTCCGAGAATAAACATAGCATGGATTTACCAGCAGGCGCAGGACAGTCTCTCACCTTTTCTGCTGTTCTACAGACAGTTGGACATAGCTGCAGTTCCCATAAGCTCAGATGACACCATGTAATGGATCAGTGCATCTTGCAGAGCAGTAGACCTCAGAGTAGGCTGACTTAGGGGTAGTGTTACTAATGCTAGGGGCCAGCACCACATGGTCTACTACTTTTCCCTCTAATCCCCTCTCTTGCTGCCATGCTTGTTATAACATGCCAATTTATCTCAAGCCAGCTTGCTGACGTAGAAGCCTGTTTTAATTCCTGCTTGTAATTACCGCTGAGTTGTCTTTATTTAAATAGGAACATTAATGAATGCAAGCATATCGTGACCAATAGTGTCAAAAGAGCTTTAGGAAAAAGGGTCACAACATTTTTGGAAATAAAGTTATGTAAGGTGTGATAGTGCGCATGTTACTTGTACTGGTAAAAACAAAATGACTGAGCAAAAGAACAACATGTTCCATGGATGGTGTGTTTCTCGGTTGCAATGCAGAACTTGCATCTAACCTTCCAAAAAGTATTATAAGAAATTTTTCTTATAATAATAAGTGCCAACTTTTGCACAGCAGGTCTGAACAGGTATCCTGGATGACCTCCGAGAATAAACATAGCATGGATTTACCAGCAGGCGCAGGACAGTCTCTCACCTTTTCTGCTGTTCTACAGACAGTTGGACATAGCTGCAGTTCCCATAAGCTCAGATGACACCATGTAATGGATCAGTGCATCTTGCAGAGCAGTAGACCTCAGAGTAGGCTGACTTAGGGGTAGTGTTACTAATGCTAGGGGCCAGCACCACATGGTCTACTACTTTTCCCTCTAATCCCCTCTCTTGCTGCCATGCTTGTTATAACATGCCAATTTATCTCAAGCCAGCTTGCTGACGTAGAAGCCTGTTTTAATTCCTGCTTGTAATTACCGCTGAGTTGTCTTTATTTAAATAGGAACATTAATGAATGCAAGCATATCGTGACCAATAGTGTCAAAAGAGCTTTAGGAAAAAGGGTCACAACATTTTTGGAAATAAAGTTATGTAAGGTGTGATAGTGCGCATGTTACTTGTACTGGTAAAAACAAAATGACTGAGCAAAAGAACAACATGTTCCATGGATGGTGTGTTTCTTGGTTGCAATGCAGAACTTGCATCTAACCTTCCAAAAAAAAAAAAAACATACACATTGCATTATACATTATGCAACCAGCTGGGTTCCCGTTTCAATTGCTTTAGGTAGTTTATGATAAACTGGTTAAGTGAAAGGATAACTGCAGTCACACTTGAGACGAGCATGATCATTATGCTGGGCATTGGGGGAAATTCTTGGTAGGAAGACGTCTTTAATGGTTGCTCAAGTTTTGGTCAAGAAACTAAGCACTGAATGTCCTAAGACGCAACATGCACTCTGTTTTACAATGAAAAGGCAAAGTTGCCCAGCTCGGGAATGGCACAGACCTTACATCATTATAGACCTAAAATGTACTCTATCCAAGTACGTGAACACCGATGCAAGATCAATTTGACCTGCATTACTGCGTTCTGAAAAGTTCACGAGTCTGTTAAAGTTAGACATCCCTAGCTCTCCTTGGAGCGTTCAATAGAGAAGTAGCAATGCTGTCATTCAAATGTCATTCATTCAGTTGATTCAGTTCACAGAACACGGTCAATGCCGTGCAATCAACTAGATATCTACGTACTTACAGCTCAATGGAAATGAATTTGAAGTAATATAATGATTATATAGGCTAAGTTTTTATTCTTTTATTTTAAGATTATGAGTGATTATGATAACTTTTACAGTGTAAATTTTGCGTAAATGCATAGAAATTCCTGGGACAAAATACACATTATCATACAATAAATGCGTTAAATTTTTTGTTGGGTGGCAATAAATGTGTTCATGAGATCTGCATGTCATTTGCAGATTCCATGTCCCTGTAATAACACAAAACCCCTCAAAACAGAGAAAAGCATTAGCTTTTCAGCATTCGTTTCATAGTTTCATTAGCATTTGTTTCATAATGTATTGTATTCTAGACAGTAATGAAAACATGAATAATTCTGATATGTCATTCAAAATGGACTTTAAAGCAATGTATTTTCTGGTTTGTTTGTTACTTTTTAATGTTTAATTACACCAGTAAACTTGTTCGTTACTCTTTAGCCTAATAACACCTAAACCTTTTAAAACTGTAGTTTAAAACTAATGATTACATTTATGCAAAGCTGATAGAGTCCCTTGTCATTTATGTTCTCCATTTGAAAATTCAGTCTACGTTTAATATCATTATTGCTGCTTCTGTTATTATTAAGCATGGTTTAAAAAAATTAATAGTTAACGTCAATTTCGTTCCGTGCTTCACTCAAAGCTATCGTATGGTTTTACAAGATGTTTGAACCACTTTTATGATACTTTCAAGTTGCTTATTTTGTCACTTTAGAGCTTGACAGCCCTCATTTCTCATTCACCCTCATTATATGGAAAATGGTAGCAAGGATATTTTCAGAAAATTAACTTTGTGTTGCACAAAAGAAAAGGTAATACGGTTTGGGACAGCAAAAGGATAAACAGATCATTTTTCATTTTTGATTAAAAGGAGCCATGCCCTTGTGCTTTTGGCCTTGGTAGTACTACAAAGCAATTGCAGAAAATGTTTAATAAGTAAAAGAACTTTGAAATTTGCGCTTCGCATAAGGCCATTCAAATACAAATTATTGAGCTGGTCATAAAAAAAACACAAAAGCAAATGGGCCCTTCAAAAAGGATTAATCTGACATTCCCCCAAGTGTCCAATAAAATTGGTTTAATCAGATTAACCAGCTTTAGTTTGCCAAGTCAGCACTTAAAACACAACACAATAACCCTTATAAATAATAAATCAGCTTCATCAAGCTTGTGGGCACACGTACAAAATGAAAGTCTCACTGATGGAAAAAATGATGCTACAGAGGGGAATTACTGCATTGAGATTTTGCAAGAACGCAAGTCAAACAAGGTGGGTTCTTGATGCAGTTTTGTTTATGTTTTATATCTTATGTGACTAATGACATTTGTGTCAACATCTTCTGTGCAAGCCCAGAGCTGTGCTGGCACAAGACCCAGCAGAGAGCTTTTCTGTTTGGACTCCAATTTAGTGCTTGAGTGCAGATTTCCCGCTGGAGCACAGCACTTGTGTGATCCAACAAAATTATTTTGCAGGGGGAAGTGTCTAACCTCAAACTGAGCGGCCAAATGACGCGTTTGTTTGCCATGATGCAATTTCAGCTGAACTGGTCGTTCAAAAGAACCACTATTAGAAAGATGGAGGTCTCAATGGAACTGAGGTGGACAGATTACTAAGTATTGAGTCTTTCAAATGCACAGTATTAACTTGCTGTGGTTTCCATGTGCGTCTAGATACCTTCATGCAAGACGTCTCGGAGTGTGACTCTCTCTCTGGAAATGGCGATGTCTTTGACCTTTGCCTTGGCCTCAAGGAGAGTGACGCTTCTCAAGTCGTTCTTCTCTATCCGCAGCGAGGGATAACCTTCAATCACACACACACAAATGTCACATTAAAATAAGTGTTAACAATTCATATTAGAACTAATTAAAAGGCTATTACAGACAAATCAAAACAAAGACAATTCAGATAATGACAGAGGTTTGCAGTGTTATTTTAACAACTGGAAGTATTTAAACACTTCATCAATGAAGTAAAACCCCAGCTTTGCCAAAGGCAAACACTGCAGTGTCACTCTTGCACAACATGTTTTGGTGTGTAACTGATTTGATCTCACAGTCAATTGTATTAGATGTTTAGAGAAAGCTGAGTGTTTTATTCTGTCATTTAGCTACAGAGTACTTTAAATACACAAGAACATCCCCCCCCCAAAAAAGGTCAAAATGTACTGTGAGCACAAATACCAGTACATAAGGCCGTTTAAATGTGGTTGTGTATCCTGATAAAAACATTGTGTATCCTCATGTGTTGTTTTTAGGTTTACATGTCTGATTGAACAATTTTCCGGTTTATATTCAATACTTCACTGTGCCTTGTGGTAAACATTATCTTAGTGATTATATAAATACAGTTGATTATGAACCCAGAACAAAGTGTAAATATATCACTTTTCACTAACAATACAACTAGCCAGTGTTCTGATTAATTTGGACTACATTTCTCCACTCATACTAAATGTGCATGATGCTGCCCCCAAGTGGTTATTATGGGTAACTAATGTAAAACTGCTAACATTCCTTATAGTCTATTCAAAATATATTAACCCTCTGGGGTCTGAGGTGATTTTGGGGCCCTTGAGATGTTTTGACATGCCCTGACATGTGTGCTTATTTCAGCTACTTATAACATATTGTTAATCAACATGTAATTTTTTTTTGTATTCAGCACAAACTGCTACAATATTTTTTAGAATTTTTTTTAGAAAAAAAAAAAAGATTGTGTGGTTAGTGAGTTTTTGGGGGGGGAAATGTAGCTGAAATAAGGCCATAAAACCCATACTGAATAGTTCTGAATAAGACTTTTGAGTAATCAGTCTTGTAGGCTAGAATATTTACATCAAAATGATCTTAAAAATCTTTTTTTTTTATTTTTTATTTTTTTTTAAGTGAGCTGGTCGTGCGTGCCACTGTCGACCCCAGGGAGTTTTAAAATAGAAAACATTTTTAAATTGTAATAATATTTAACACTTAGTTTCAAAACATTCCAAAATCTTTGTAATGACTTTAAACTTTTCAACAGTAGTGTAGACAAAATGAGAACATGCAAATGAGAACATGTCTTTGCACTTTGCACCACTGTAATAGTGTAAACCAATGAACGAGCTCGGTGAAGACCAGTAAGAACAAAGCAATGGTGATGGTGAAGAAGAAACCAGGTTAAAGGTAGGTGGTTAGTGAACACGATTAAGTCATGATTCCCTGTTGCTCTCTCTATCTGCTTCACAGCAGCAGAACTTACTTTTGGTTTCGTGCGAGGGGGCACCAGGGTGAGGGAAGGAGGCGCCTGCAAGTTGGAGCATGGGTGCAGAGCCAGTATGAGCATCTGATCAAAAAAGGAAGGGGTGGAGGGAGGACAGAGTGAGAGAACAAAAAAAGAAAGATGGAGAGAGGTATATGAAGGATGGATAATTATAGCAGGTAGATGGTGCCTGAGCTATTCCACACACAAGAACAAGAGTGAGACAAGAAAACACATGGTATAAGCATGAAACAGTGCACCAAGCATGTAAGACCACTAGGAGGCGCTAAGCACAATGTGGTGTGCACAGCCTGGGCAAAATCATCAAATCTCCACACTGGTTTATTAAAATTACTTTACAACATAATTGCTTTTGAGGAAGAGTATTCGCTAAAGCTGGCCTTAAACATCGCCCACAACTGTTGACACCAAATGTTTTAAAGTACTTAGCTGCATCTGAAAGCACTTACAGGTGCATCTCAATAAAAGTTCATTTATTTCAGTAATTCAACTCAAATTGTGAAACTCCAGCAAACTCACCAGACCTGAACCCCATAGAGAATCTATGGGGTATTGTCAAGAGGAAAATGAGAAACAAGAGACCAAAAAATGCAGATGAGCTGAAGGCCGCTGTCAAAGAAACCTGGGCTTCCATACCACCTCAGTAGTGCCACAAACTGATCACCTCCATGCTACGCCGAATTGAGGCAGTAATTAAAGCAGAAGGAGACCCTACCAAGTTATTGAGTACATGTACAGTAAATGAACATACTTTCCAGAAGGCCAACAATTCACTAAAAATGTTTTTTTTATTGGTCTTATGGAGTATTCTAATTTGTTGAGATAGTGAGTTGGTGGGTTTTTGTTAAATGTGAGCCAAAATCATCACAATTAAAAGAACCAAAGACTTAAACTGCTTCAGTCTGTGTGCATTGAATTTATTTAATACACGAGTTTCACAATTTGAGTTGAATTACTGAAATAAATGAGCTTTTCCACGACATTCTAATTTATTGAGATGCACCTGTACTATTGAATATGTACCACATCTAATGAAGAACTTACTTCTAGACCATTCTGTATGCATGCATGTATGTATAAAAACAATTCATAACATTCGCAATGCTGGAATTGTTATGCAACCTACATAAGCTATATTTGCTGTCATTTACTAATATAACAAACAACTTCTCTCATGTGGCATAACTTTTTGCCTTCCTTTTTTATGAACGCTGTGTATTTGGACATTTTACTAATTTGACATTGCTTTTTGCATACTGTACAGCAGGGAAGTAGCCATATTTGGATGCATGAAGTGACAACTGTTGGCTAAAATGAAAATGAATTACTTGCCTGAGTCAAGTAATGTTTGTTCTAAAAAAAAAAAAAGTATTGCACCATTTGACATTTCCATATCCAATTAAGAGACAGAGACATTTATTTTGTTACTTAAGTGTCTACATATTTTCTGGGGCCACTGTGAATATAAGACCCATGGGATCTCCTGGCAAACTTCAACTAATAGGAAGTTTAAGGGAGGTTATCAACCCGCCTTTCAGCTCTGCCTGAAAAGCTCTAATTTTAGCCCAATCCAGTCGTTTGAGGGAAAGGAGAAACTCACCCACTATGAAAACAGTGACCATGTTTAAAAAAGCAGAAACTTCCTGTTGATTTGGTCTTATTTGCGTCCCATGTTGGAAAAGGGGTGGAGGTGGTCAACTTCTCGTGGTGGAAAAAAAAAAGACAACAACCTAAGTGTGAAGAAATGACTCTGAAATGGCACTAGTGAATGACAGCAAAGGATTGAGCAAATACTAGGAGACTGACTTTTGTACTATTGTGAGGGGACGTGACGACTTTACAAGTACGATACGCAAGAAACATTTGTACTCATTCCGATCACACAAAAACAATTAATGCTGGAGTCACTGCTGTGCTAAACTTAAGGACAAAAATGTGTGCGCCTGTTTGTACCAACCTTATGATTCCAGTTTAGATAATTTGATCATTTGTTTCCAATTTTCTTATTTATAAAGGAATGCACATTTGGTGTGAACAGGGCAAGACAAGATGCAGCCAGAAGTGTGAAATTTAGCTGTGGGGAGCAAAGCACCCAGCTGGTGTTTATCTACTCTTTGAGCTACTTCTCCTGGTAGAGACGGGTTTCTGACATTTTAAACATGGAAGAGGAGTGCAGATGGTTACGGCAGATGGTTGAGATGTTTGAGAGAGTTGCTGATCTGAGGTCAGGGGTGAGAGACATGGTGTGGTCGTAGTCTTACTGGTGACAGGTGTAGCATTGTTGGGGGTGTCTGCCCTCAGGTACTGGGTGGTCTGGGTGGAAGGCTGAGACAGACCCTGAGAGCTTCCACTGTCGCTGACGCTAAAAGGTTTAGAGAGAAGAAATTAATTACTTTAGGAATTGATATGCACCAATTTGAAAGGTACGTGGGCTTATATTAGGACTTACTATAATAACCTCAAATCATTTTACTAAAACAGACCAGTCTTTCATTTTAAATGGTTTCACAGCCTCTTTTATGATGAACTCATCTGTTTTTTCAGAAGGTGTAGGGTTTTACCTGGCCCTGAACCCCAGTGCATTTAAAAACTAAGTGCTGTGTAATTGTCCCAATTAAAGCCATTAGACTTCAACTCAAAAGGTTAAACACTGAAGCCCCTGGAGAAAAACCTAAAATGCTGCAAGTTTAACCTGCCTCCTGAAACTCATTGAACCTAATCATGATCTAATGTCACAGACTCATCATCATCATCATCATCATTATTAAACAGTTCTGGTTTCTTCTGGTCTACTTCTTGGGCTGTGGAGCAAAAACAATCCACCGGTAGAAAACGGAGTCTGAGCACATTCTTGTTCTGAGGTTGATGTGTTTTAGAAGATAAATGGAGCTCTGTGTCTCTTCTTCTAAATAGCAGCAGATAAAATCTAATCTACCAACCTTATATAATGCTGAAAAAGACAGCTCTTTGTACTGATGCCTAATTCAATTTCAGAAAAGCACAATTAAAATACCCTGGTATGAAATTAGCAGGAGATGAGATTTTTTTCTCTCCCGTCTTCTTTTGATAAACCCACAATGAATAGAAAAAAAGAACCACACAA